GGAGACAGCCTGTTACTCAAGAACATTTTGCTGCCTGCACCATGTGTGGCCTGGGCTCGTGGTCTGTGAATTCTTGGAGCCAGAAATTAGAAGAGCAATGGTAGCCTTGTCTTCTAGGCAAGCTGAAGGCTGCCCAGGTTCCTGATGACCCTGAGACTGCTTAGCACCAAGGTGCCTGAGTACTAGGACCACTTGATAAACCAGGAGTCCATCACAATGTGAGAATTTAGCCACAAAATTTCATTCGTAGTGTTCACCCAGGGAAATGTGTAATTTTGGGTGGTGTTCTCTTTTTGTTTTGATAGGGGAGCTAATCACAAGGTTTCTTTGTTACTTTCTCTAGTTGCTGAGGCAAAATATCCAAAAGTTAATGTCTAACCCAAAATTCAAGGAGGAAAGGTTTACTGATGGAACACTTTATAGCAGTTTTAGTCAATAATTGGCTTGCTCTGAAGTAAGATGACACACGACCGAGGACATCACAGTGGAGAAATAGCTCATGGCAGGCAGATTGCAGCTAAAGCAGCAAACAATGGTAAGGAGCAAGTGATGTCCGGCAGTCCTCTTTCTGTAGCCTGTACTTAATCCACGCGATGTGGCCTTAGGGCAGGTAGCACTCAGAGCCACAGTGGGGCAGCGTTTACCCAAGCATAACACCCTAAAATCAATCCCAGCATCACAACTTTGTTATAGCACCACACACCCAATAACCTGCCACTTCCAAAGGTCTACCTATGACCATTGAAGCTTTGGGAGACATCTGGATACAAGCCATAACAAATGTATAAAGAAAATATGATACATATATATATATATATAGTGTGTGTGTGTGTATGACACAGATCTAAAGAAACATAAATTTAAGTTATTTGTAGGAAAATGGATGTACCCTTAGGCAATAATGCTAAGTGAAGTAGGTCAGACACACAAGGTTAACTGTCACATGGTTTCTCACAGCCATGGTGTCGCAAGCCTGTTCTCAATTCCTTTCTTTGTATTATGCCTATGCATATGATATATGTGCTTACTGGAAATGAAGCTCTTTAAAGCAAAGAGTCTGCAGTGGACTAAAGCGCTTGCTTAGGCAGATGCAGGGACTGGGGTTTCAAACCCTGTGTGCTGTGCCAGCCCTGCCCTTGAGTGGCAATGAGCTGGTGATTGAGACTAGGCATGGTGGCAAGAGCCTGTAATCCCAGCACTTTGGAGGCTGTAAACAGGAGAATCACTATGAGTCTGATCTATGCAGTTAAACATTGTTGATCCTGTAGACCCTGCCCTAAATACAGAAAAACAAACAAACAAAAAAAAAAACAAAAACAAAAAAAAAACAAAACAAAAAAAAACAAAACCAAAGTCTGTGTTGAACTTGTCCAGCTGTGTCCTGCATAATCCTCAAAGTAAGTTGCATAGGAAAGCATACCAACTCACTAAGAATACTCCTTGTTCCCTTGGGATTCCAAGATACTTGTACTTACCTTTTACTTGAATGCACATGAAAGTTTCATGGACAGTCCAAATTCTGGGGAAGAGTTAGCTATAAACTCTAAAAGGCTTTTGTGGAAATATTATTACAAGAGCAAAACATGTTTTTAGAACAGAACAATGACTTAAGTTTTGGCCACTAGACTTTTTTCAAATAATTATCCATTGGTTATGTGTCTAGTTTTGCTGAAATAAAATTTTAAGCACAGGAAAAAATCTGGCCTGATGTAAGACTATTGTTGAAAAACATTAAATATAATTCATTGTTTTCTAGTGTCCTTGAGTATGTGTTTATTTTAAAGCTTGGTCTAGAAAATACCATTTAGTGAAGGGTAATGTAAGATATTTGAGTTAGACTGTTTGTCCTGGCCTTTCCATGAAGGTTTGAGGTTTTTCTTCTTTGTTCAGTTTTTTTT